GTGGCTGCTTTAGCTAATGCTTTGCTTTATAAATATATCAAGTGTGATTCGAGTTCTTACATACTCGTGTGTTGAAGTTGTACATTGTCATTTCTGGGGAAGAGTATTGCAAGAATAACTGGTGTATTGATTGTTTATGATTTTGATGTGTGTTTCTATTGCTGATTGATATGCCCCATTCATTGGGAAGAAAGCTTTTGTGTTTAAAGTTCCCACTACAAAAGGATTTGAAGTATATGATTTTTGAAATATTCTATATGTTGATATTTGATGGTGATCTTTGAAATTGAAAGAGGTGAAAGTGTAGAATATAAAATACGGCCATCGTGCCAGGAATTAAGAACCCTGTGAATGGCCAAATGAGCCAAGGAAACATTGTCATTGTGAATAACTGGAAATACTAATGTGAAAGATGTTGAGGTGAGTACAATTATATTTATGTTACCTTTATGTGCAAATCAAATCAAAAAAATATTTTTGGGAGCATTATTAGCAAAACCGAGGAAGGGTGGGTCATAAAGCCCACACCTGAAACTACACGTGCCGGTGTAGGGGTGGATTGTGATTATTCTCCTTATTTGGGATGAAATTAAAATATTGGAGAAATTGTGATATTATCCCCCTTAATTGGGATAAAACTAGTAACAAATGTGGATTGTAAAAGTCAACCCACACGGCATATGTTGGAAGGCGGCCTAGCTGATCGGGTGGAGATCGGACGCCATGTTGCGCACATGGTGGTACTACTCTTGGTAACAATTTTCTTTCACATAACCTGTCAAACCATATTGTTCGTGGGGAGATGTCCTAGCCGATCGGGCGTGATCGGACTCCGTGCTAACAAAGACGGTGGTATATCGGTGCTAATGATCTCCCAACCAAAAATTATATATGAAGTTCGTATTTTGAAAATTATTATGTTTTAACTGGATATTTGGATATTGTTGATTGTTACTTGTTGTTTCTATGTGTTGCCTTTTCTTATATGGACATTCTATTTTGAAAGAGGATTTTCAGCTATACATAGTAGTGTTATTCGACAGTACTAACGTCCCTTTTGCCGGGGGCGCTGCATCTTTAATGGATGCAGGTGGTTCTACCGCAGGCGGTATTGATCAGTGATAGCAGTACACTCTTTTCAGCTGATTTGGTGAGCCCACTTTATTTCGGGGTCATGTATCTTTTGTTTCTCATGTACTGTGTTTTGAGGCATAGTCGGGGCCTTATTGCCGGCATTTCCATATTACTCTTCTATTGTAGTTAGAGGCTCCGTAGACAGGTTGTGGTTAATGTTGGGAATTGAACTAGAAATGTTGGTATTTGAAAATCATGTTTTCATTAATTCTATAAACTCGTAATATTTTGGAAATTATGAATGAAGTTGCTAATGGGAATTTAAAGGAAGTTGTTAATAAAATCTTTTCATTGTTTGATTAATGGAGTACATCTCCTCTTTATTCATGGATGAGTTTGGGTAGAAGGAAATCTAACAGGCTTGCTCGGCCGGGTTCTCTTGGTTGAGCGTCGATCTCTCTCCCCGAGTTTGGGGCGTGACAATCCCACCATATCATGTCGGCCTCAGTGGGAGAAATCATCAACGTANACTTTATCAACTTACGTATTTTCTGAGACCCATGAACAGACGATATAATAATAGGACACATGGGTAATCAACAACATAGCTCCCCCTAGTACTGAATAGAGTCATTTGTGAAAGTTGCGCGTTTGCTCGTTTTGTTTGTATCATATGGACCATCCCAAAAGGAAAGAAGGGATAGCCTTAACATACCTCAATCTCCTTGTCTCTTCAATACTTTTCAAGCAACTCTTCAAACAACTCAACTCAATCTACCATAACATAAGGAGGTTCAAAATCAATGCTGAGTAAAGGCTAAGTCTGTAACTTAATGTAGTAGCTCATTTATGTAAATTTGGGCAACATCTCCCTTGTAACAAGGGCCTCCTCCAATACCATATACCAACAACAACAACCAGAGAAATACAATTAGATCAATATCAACAATAGGGTATAATATTTCATTAACAAATCATCAACATATCACGACGAGTGGCACGTTCGGATTGAATCCCTTTAGCACCCTTCAACCCCATTATCATACATTCATTAACTTAACAACATGTCTAGTATGATACCAAGTACAATAAAGTACCGAGCGAAGAACTTCAGTACACCTATAGATTCCAGAGGGACAACTTGTCATATTTCTGTATATGCTCACAAAGTGAGGCCTAGAGATTGGATAAAAGTAGGAGGAAAAGGAGATAAGAGTCGCATAGGCGCGCATACAAGGACAGAGTCGTACAGGCTGCATGACATAAGGTAGCAACAGTTACGAGATTGGAAGAATTTTGACCACAAATCGTGGTGTGAGAAAGTGGCCTAAAGGGGGAATGCCCTGACCTTTTGAATTATTCACAGAGCAGTTGCCTAGATGGAAAGGATAGTAGTAAAGTATTCGTAAGATCTATAGGTTATGAGACTGATAAGCACATTAGTCAACATTCGAGGACGAATGTTCCAAAGGGGGAAATGATATTACACCCCATGTTTTTGTACGTAAGAGTACCTCTAAGTCAATTGATGTAAGCTCAAAAATGAGATCATATTTGAAAATTTTATAAAGTAAGTTAATCATGTTACCTTGGAGGTTACAAATATTTAAGATCACAAATACCAAGTACCAACAGGGTTGGAAGGCTTAGAAGCTAAATGAAAAATAAGTTTTGTCGAAAGTCGATAAGTTTGGAATGTTATCATGTACTTTGGGGTGAGACTAGGGTTCTTAATATAATAAGGAGGTTATGTTATGAGTTATTGTAGTCGTATGATAGTCAGGTATTACGTTTTGAAGTCAAGAAAGTTGTGGAACAAAAGTTGGCAAAGGTCATCACAAGTTACATTCATAATATGCTGAAAATTAGGTCAAATATAGTAGAGTTGTTCTCTTAATATACTTGGAATTACAGGATGATCAACATATCAAATTGAATATCTAAGAGTGTAGTTTCTAACGGATTAAACCGTTCATCGATATAATATCAGAGTAGAGAGATATTCACATTTTCATGAGACCACGCAAGCAGCTCCCAATGGGACCCACTTAGGCGGTGGTCGACCTACTTCACTTTAAAAACGATTTGGACTCCTATTTTTTGCTCATTTTCAACTCAACTTCGTCTCCAAACTCCTCCTAACCCTATTAAACTGATACCATAAGGGTTTGAAAGGGAATCCAAGTGATTACACCATATCTCACCATCAAAAGTTAGTTATAGTAAAGAACAACACCTCTTTGGGGTTTTGTTGTCATTGAGGATTGTTGTGGGCTGTGTTTGGCTGAAACTTCAAGTGGTTGATGCTGGTTTATGTATGTATAATACTCTACTACATGTTCTTCTAGTTTATATATTAGTTGCATTATTTGAGCAAGATACTACAAGAGAAGACTTGAAATAGTTTGAGATGTTATTGTTCTTAATGGATTGTTTTGGAAAGGTTGTTTCCATGAACTTTAAATGGTTGGAAACCTTGGAAAATGACTTGTTTATGCTGTTATTTTAATGAATATATTGTCTACATATCGAACTTGTTGTTGGCATTATGAATAAGAAGATAAAGGACAACATAACAATGGAAAGTTGTACTTGTTGTTGTTGTTGTTGGATTGTTGGCCATGCTTTCTCACATATGTTATTCATATGAGTCAGCAATTTATTGACAGATGTTATGCATGACCTACCCTTATTTCATGTTCATATCTTAGACGTATGCTTAGGGGTGTTCGACAAGTAGGACTCGGGCACTCGTCATGGCCCATCGATTTGGGTCGTGATAGGAAATCTCTCTTGAGATGACTCAAGTCCCCATACCCAAAACAACCCCTCCTCTGGCGAGACTGCTAGCTCCGTGACTATCCTTGAGAACCTGAATATTTTCCTAAAGAACTCTGAGTAGATGGAGCACGGTATGAACTCTGTGCTGGTAGTGCACTGAAAGATGACTGGTCTGGGCTAGCACTATATGAATTATTGCTAACTGAAGAACCACGAGAAACCTGACAGGATGCCTGAGCAGGCCTGAAAGAACGGCCTCTACTGTGATATGCCTGGCCTCCAGATGCAGCACCACTAAAACCACCCAAAACATGGGGTCTCTAGGTGTTTCTCTCCTCTCTCTTTTGCCTGCGAACACTCTCTAAGCACCTGGCAATCTCAACCGCGTAGTGATGATGAGCTAACTCCATGATGAGCTAACAACTGCACGATGATCTAACTCTATGAACCTCATCTCCACTAGGTCACGATCATACCCTCCTAGCATAAATGTTCAAACTCTCTACGCAACTTATCTCTCCGAGTCTATGGTATAAATTTCTCCAAGAAGAGAAGTGGTAACTGATACCAAGTGAGTGGTGTTGCACCAGCTTGTCTACTCAACTCATAAGTCTGACACCGCCTGTATGCTGACCCTAACAACTAGAAGGTAGTAAACTCAACCCCATTCGAGTCCACTAGACCCAAAGTGCAAAATTTCCGATAATACTGATCTAGGAAGCCCTGTGCATCCTCAGTAGGCTCTCCACTAAAATGAGAAGGATGAAGTATCTGAAATCTCTCTAGCCTCTTATGCTCTCTAGCAGTCAAGGCTGGTTTGATCTCGGGCTGAACAAAAATGACTAGCCATACCGGTAGGACTCCTGGTGTTTGGTAACCATGAGCCAGCTACCCTGGTATATGAGCGGGGGTAGTCTGGGCTTCCCCCTCAACCTGTGAAGTAGCTGGAGAAACAGGTATCATACCCACCTGAGTCAAACCCTCATACACGCTAAGAATACGAGCCAAAGTCTCCTAGATTTCGGGTGTAGTAATAGGCCTCTCCGGAGCCTGAGCTGGTCCCACTGGCTCAACATGATCAGGAATCTGCTCCTCAATTATAGCTATCGGTGGCTCCATAGTGGCTGCTCGAGCAGGGCCCATAACTATGGCCCCTCAGGCTCTACCTCAGCCTCGGCCTCTCGCAACCCTGGCCTGGGGTATTGGTGCCTACCCAGTTGCTCCAGAAGAACATGTCCTTGCCATATGTTATAGAATAGAAGAGAAAAGATTCAAACTTCTAGATAAAAAAATATGCACGATAGAGAACAAAAGAGAGAAGTTTTCCGAACAACCCTATTGCCTCTCAAAGAAAAGTGCAAACGTCTTCGCACTCATCTGCAAGACTCTACTAGACTTGCTAATGACCATGAGACCTAAGAAACCTAGGGCTCTGATACCAACTTGTCACGATCCAAAGCCACCACCGGCCGTGATAGGGCCTAACCCTAATTTCTAGGCAAGCCATTCATAAACAGTTGCAAAAAAAAATATCTAATACCAAATAAATGAATCTGAAAGTCGAATAAGCATAAATAATACTAAATCATTGAAACAAATCCCCAAAAATTGGTAACACTGAGTCATGAGTTCTAAGGTACGAATATAAGTCTGCCAATACAATATATTATTTAAAGCAAAAATAGTAAAGAAGGATAGAAGGAGATACCAGGGATTGCGATCAGAAAGTAGCTCTACCACGGGTCTCAGCCGCAACAACTACAACTCACAATGCATAATTGGGTCTGACTCCTAGATTGTACAATTAAGTACAGAGTGTAGTATGAGTACATGTGCTCCGCATATCATGCTCAGTCTCCAAGTCTCCTCCTCGACTGGCTTACCTCTCCACTTAACCTTCACTGATGCAATATTCTTCGACCTCAGCTTCCCATCCTGCCTATCCAAAACGGCCATCGGCACCTCATCGTAAGTCAAACCCTTTTCTAATTGTACCGAACTGAAATCCAACACATGTGACAGATCCTCATAGTACTTTCGAAGCATGAAAACATGAAACACCGGATGCATTCTCGATAAGATGGGTGGCAAAGCAATTCTGTAGGCCACCTCACCAACTCTCTCCAGCACCTCGAAAGGACAAATATACAGAGGGCTCAACTTGCCCTTCTTCACGAATCTCATCATGCCCTTGATAGGCGAAACTCAAAGAAGAACCTACTCATCCTCAATGAAAGCTACATTCCAAACCCTCCTATCAGCATAACTCTTCTTCCTGGACTGTGCTATACAAAGATGCTCCTAAATCAATTTCACCTTCTCTAAAGCATCACAAACCAAATTTGTGCCTAATAATCTAGTCTCACCCGGCTCAAACCAACCCACTGGAGAACAATAATGCCTCCCATATAAGGCCTCGTACGCAGCCATCTGGATGCTTAACTGATAGTTGTTGATGTAGGAAAACTCCACCAATTGAAGAAACTGATCCCATCAGCCTCTGAAATCTATGACACAGACCCTCAATATATCCTCCAGAATCTGAATTATCCGCTCGTACTGCCTGTCCGTCTGAGGGTGAAATGCGGTACTTAACACAACACCCGGATGAATGGAATACCGCGAACTATGAGCCTCCTCAAGGATCAACTCTGTTAATCCATCCACATTAGGAACACAAATCCACCCCTGATGCCGAAACACACCATAGTCACCAATAGTCATCTCCTTAGCACCACCTTGTTGCACCGTGTCCTTAAGGACAAGAAAATAGGGATCATTATACTGTCGAGCCTTAATGCTCTCAAATAAGGATGACCGAGATACAACACAAGAAAGAACCCTGCTAGGCTCCAATATATCCAATATCACAAACTTGTTGGCCAAAGCCTGAACATCCATAGCCAAAGGCCTCTCCCCAGCTGGAATAAATGCTAAACTCTGCATACTCTCCACCTTCCTACTCAAGGCGTCTGCTACCACATTGGCATTCTCTGGATGATAAAGAATAGTGATATCATAGTCCTTCAATAGCTCCAACCACCTCCGCTGCCTCAAGTTCAAATCCTTCTCTTGAATATATGCTAAAGACTCCATGATCCGTATACACTCACAAGACACGCCATCTAAGTAATGCCTCTAAATCTTGAGTGCATGTACAATAGCTGCCAACTACGAATCATACACCAGATAGTTCTTCTCATGGAGCTTTAACTGGCACGACGCATAGGCAATCACCCTACCATATTGTATCAACACACACCCAATTCCAACCCGCGTAGCATTACAATAAACTATATATGAACCCGATCCTGAAGGCAAAACGAACACTAGAGTTGTAGTCAAAGCTGTCTTAAGCTTTTGAAATCTCTCCTCACACTCATCTAAATACCTGAACGATGCACCCTTCTGAGTCAACTTAGTCAATGGGACTGCAATAGATGAAAATCCCTCTATGAAGCGACGATAATAACCAGCCAAACCTAAAACGCTCCTGATCTCTATAGCGGTAGAAGGTCTGGGCCAACTCTGAACTGCTTCAATCTTCTTCGGGTCCATTTTGATCTTATTACTAGATACCACATGACCCAAGAATGCCATCGAGTCTAACCAAAACTCGCACTTGGAAAATGTATCATATAGCTTCTTATCCCTCAAAGTTTGAAGCACAATCCTTAAATGCTACTCGTGCTCCTCCCTTCTATGGGAATATACAAATATATCATCAATAAACACAATGAAAAATGAATCCAAATAGTGCTGGAACACACAACTCATCAAGTGCATAAAAGTTGCTGGGGCATTAGTTAACCCCAAACGACATCACCAAAAATCAGTATGCCCATGGCGAGTTTGGAAAGTAGTCTTAGGGGCGTACGAAGCCTAATCTTGAACTGGTGATACGATCTCAAGTCAATCTTCGAGAACATCCTGAAGCTGATCAAATAAGTCATCAATGCACAGCAAACCGAGCTTGTTGCTCGTTGTACTATTGTTTGAATTGTTCTTACGTTGTTGAGCGGTTGAATTGATAGGATTAGCTGTTGATATTGATGATGTTGTTATTTTGTATTCGGAGAAGTGAGGAAATATAGGGGAAGTGCTGCCCAATTCTCCGTAAGAGAGCTAATAGCTTAGAAATGTATTTTGAGTTTTTCCATGGTACTAACCATAGTTCATACCTTGATGTAGGTTGCAGTTCTACGAGCAATGTATATTGAGTCGTTATCAACAAAGGTATCTTAAGGCTAAACCTCTCCTTCATTTTGGCATGATCTCATAACTACATGCGTTTGATAACGAGACATAAAGAGAAGTTCGTACTCCAGAATTTATGTACATTATCCTAATCTCATAAGTTACAGTATTCTCCCTTATCGGGACTTTATATTCAGTTAAGTATTGTCTTCTTC